CCTCAGTCCTCCGTCTTGGCCCGAGCCTGATTTCGCTGTTTAACATAGTTAGCTGGGCCGTGGGCCACCTTAGCCACTTGGAGAAAAACATATCAATTGAAGAGAGTCCTTAACTACTTCAAAAAATGGCTTAGAAGTGCGCCGTGAATATATTTCGTATCCTCCACTACTTGCTTATTAAATAGGTAAAATGGTGTACAATAATTGTGAATGAAAAACAAATGAAATACAATAGTTTTTTATATTGTGGTAAGCAATTATCAATTTAACTTCAATCTCTAATTAAAATTTGCGGATTGTGCATTAACATTTTAATGTAAATTTCCTACTTAAAGGCAATCAAGGTTTAACGCTTATTGCGATTATTGGCGATCAACTTGAGGCTATGGTTTTTCTCCCAGTGCCCTGCTAATCCAACGGCCACTGCGAGGGATTTTCACCGCGATTCGGTAGCCGGCAAGTAGCTGGCCGCAGTACGTAGGTTGCGGCAGGTCAGTGCTCCCCGGCCATGTGATTAAAACGCTAAAACGCAGACAATCATAAATATCAAATGCGCCATATTTTAGGGTCTCTGCGGTCTCTGTGGGTATATGTTGTTGTTATTGTTGTTGTTGTATATTTTCGTTTTGTTGTTGATAAAGTGAGGGGGGAGCGACCAGAACGGTTTCACTTTTGTTTGAGCGACACCTGGCTGCGAGCGGAGCGCCTCATGACTCACGGAGTTATCCACCAAGTGGGGACCCCAGTCTGAAAAAGTGCATCATAAATTATTTTGCCTTTGCCGCTCCGCTCAGCTTAGCTCAGCTCGGTTCAGCCTCAGCCCAACTTTTATTTTCCTTCTAAGCATTTTCATTTGCCAAAGTAGTCACACGGTCAGCTTGGCGGTGGAAAAGGCGGGGATCTTTCGATCTTTGGATCTTGGGAGCGGACCACATTTGTCGCCAGCCCAAGCGAAATCGAAATTGAAATTGAAATCCTGGTTTAGCCCCAGCCCGAACCAAGCCGAGCCAAGCGATCCAAACGGATCGGCAGCCGCACTTTGGTCACGAATGTCGGTCAAACGTGTTTGGTTTGCTATTTTACAACTTTAAATATGCCAACAATGGCCAAAAGCCACTAAGGCACAGTATCCGCAGCAGCCCCTCCTCCGCCCCAAAATAACCACATCCTACCTGGGCCACATGCATGCCTAATTTGTGTGCATATTTCTCGGGGGATTATCACTGTCACACTCCCGCCGCAAAGGAAAACTCGAATCAGCCACGATCTCCGACTTCGTCGCGGACTCCAATTACAATCCGATGCGGCTGTTGCTTTGGCCAATGGTAATTTTAATATTAGGGTTCAAACAGGCACCTTTTAAGTAGTAGAACAACGGGAGTTTTCGGAGATTTTTAAGGGTTTCAATTTGTATTGATTACCAAGATAAAACACCAAACTATTTATATTTCCAAGGGATATCTCAAATGATTAAAATCTTTTAAATATTTCGTAGGGTACATGTTAACTTAAAGTGGAAGTCTTGGTGGTTGCAATAAACTCAAGTAAGTTATTACATTTTTTACTTCCCCATATTAAATTACAAGAGGGACAGCCAAAACGTCGTTTGTCGGCAGTTTCCCTTTCACCAATTTAAGCGCTTCCTCTCATTAAGATTTTGCAAAACTTTCCTGCCAGTTGCTTATTAAGATCGAGTTATATTTTCACAGTCTGTTGGCTGTTACACTTGTAAGCAATTAGCCAAGTTTTTCATGGGAAAAGCGAAAATGTTAGGGCAGGAAGAAATATAACTGAAGCAATTAGACATACGTTAACAAATTGATTCCCTAGAGAACTTTGAAAGGTTGTACTTTCCAGGGAATTTATGGTAACTCCTTAATTGGCAGCTCTTAGGTGACCCAATTTTTATAGCTATTCCCTATCTCGATTTCATCGCTGGAACTTCCTTTTGGTTTCATTACCCATACGCCGTGTTGCGCCATCGGCAGAAAAGCGAGTAAGTGTTTGCAGAGATCAACGGGCGGCGGCAGATCAGTAAACTATTTAGCCCACAAACAAATTTCTCACATAATTCACAAAACGCCGTAATACGGAAGCCGTTTCTAGTTGCAAATTTCACTCGGCTGATAAGTCGCCGGGCAAATTTGCAGCACTCAAATTTGAATTTCATGTCCCTTTTATCGGTGCGACTATCTAACGCTTAGCGCGGTTCAGTTCAGTTCAGTTCAGCTTGGGCTGGTTTTTGGCTTTAGTTTTGGTTGGTTTCTATCTTTTTTTTGGGGGGGATTTTAAGCTTTGGTTTTGGCATGTCTGTTGGCCCGGCTAGAAGTGGCCATTGTTGGTGTCGCTTGGGCTTTTTGGCAAATTTGCCTGGCCATAATAACGGTTCGTGCTGGGGGGTTTTCGCCTTATTGGGCGGTAGCGGTTCAACGGATTGATGTGCCTCTCTGTGTGAACAGAGTTTTTCCAACAACCTCCCCCAACCCTCAACTGTACTATTATTTTCTGAGTTTTTTGGCCACCGCAAAGTTATAAAATATAGAAAATTATGCGCATCGGCTACTGTGGCCGCCATCAAAAGCGGCGCCGAAAGTCGGCTCGAGTCGGATCGGTTTTGGCTGTTGCCTGGCACTTAACACCTTTTTGACACACAGCCAGCGACGTCAAATGCAAATGAAGATAAATCGCTGCCTCTGATCTTTTTAGCACCTTTTTGCATACATTCCCCCGGTCTCCAGGCAAAACCCGAACCCGAACCCGATGCCAAAGCCAAAGCCTCCAAGAGCTCCGGTGACAGCGCCACGAACATGCAACATTTTGTCGCCAGTTGTACAACTCCTGCTGAATGCTGACTGCTAGCTGCCGAATGCCGAATGGCAAATGTTGCCGCTGTTGCACGGTGTTGGCCACTGCCTACGACTTTTCGCGATTATGATGGCAACCCAGCCCCACACTCGCGATTCAGCAGCTGTAATACCCTCTAAGGGGATTATAGGATTTTAACACCTACTACGGAGCTATTCATCTTAAAAGATGTCCTCTGCTGCGATAAAAAAGCTGTGTGGCTTCTCAAAATTAAGAGGACAAGGTTGCGGATTGTTCATAGATTTCACTTTTTAGTTAAAGTTTCCAAGGAAATACGAAACCATTTTCTGTAAGCTCAGAATAATGTGTTCCTTGTAGGTTTAAAACCGAGAGGTTCTTAAACTAAGAATGAATATTTAAATTATATCAAGTAATTAGCTTCATATTTTAGGTACAATATTTTCCACCTAAGTAATTCCCAGTGAATATCCAGCGTATCTAATCTTCGGTTTGTTTAACATAACCTTATGTTTTCGGGGTTGTCAATAAGGTCAAGGGGGGAGCTGTAGATGGTGGTGTTGCTTCGGAAACTCAGCTTTTCACTGCAACACAGATACACACTCACACATGTGCACATGGTTGCCAATCAGAGAATTATCGGCCTGCCCCACTGTTATTTCTTGTGGTTGTTTTTCGGTTGCCAGAGTGGTGGGGCTGTTGTCATTGTTGTTTTGCTGGTGGTGGTGTTGCATTGCAGACTTAAGACTTCAGACGGATGAGGAAGTTTTTTGGCCTGGGCTGCGTTTGTGGCATGCTACCAACTATCGGCCGGCGACTATCGGCAGCTTGTCGCGGTTTTTCTCTTATTTAAATTACGAAATGTTTTGTCAACAATTTGTCCACTGATTTATTGGCTTTTGTGGCGCTGCAAGCTACTTGCAACACGGCAAACCAACACACACAGTGGGCACAATAGCCGCTGTTGTTGTGCTGGCGGAGTGCGGCTAATCGGAGTTGCCAGTTATCAGCTGGCTGAGTGACAGGTGCATAAATTGCATTTAAAATCGAAAGTTGGGCAGACGCCCAGAATGAAAGTGAACGACGTGCATCCATTAAATGTGTGCCACTCATGTGGCACCATCTCCACCAACACCACCATCGCCACAAGTCGAACCACCAGCAAAATCGCGGTGGTGCATTGACTCTGTACTCTGTGTACTGTGCACTCTGCACCACCACGGCAGTCGCATTCGCAGCTGTCCATCAGAGAACTTTCGATTTCGATTGCGTAGTGCGTCAACTCGAAGACTTTCCATTGTGGCGTTTGTTGAACCGATCTCAGGTGCACTGGCAAAACATCTCAAGCAATTTTTATGAGTAAAGATCAGGATTGGCACACTTTATTCACCCTATAAAACTGGTCTGGTATTCTTATGAACATTTGATGTGATTTATATTCTATGTTGCACTAAGTTTCTGATCTTATGATAATTCTATTACACATCGAAGTAAATATTCTACTATGAAATATCTTATACTCAGTTTTCTCTCTGTGTAATAGCAAAGATCACAGACGTAAGGAGGGTCAGGAACTGGGACTGGGACTCGGACAACAACTGCCACAGATCGCACAAGAAACACATATTTCTGCCTGCATTTCGTAGCTTTTTCGTTCGGGTTTGAAGTCTCTGTGAGTGACACACAATTGCGTTTTTTGCGCATAGTTCCGTATTTGGTCAAAGATAATGATGTGAAATGCAGCAACAACGGCATATCCCCCAAAACAACGGCAACGAAGGCGAAACGACAGCGACAACGAGGCAATCACCCACTCAAAAATCGTTGAGGAAAAATTGCCAGGCCGACGCGAATCGTCCATGTAAATGAGTGAAAATGTTTCAACTTAATTCTGTTTATGTGCGTTCACGTTCGCTGGAGTTTTCAGTTGCCAGGGCAAGAGAAACTCCATTCAGGCCTTAAACTTAAACGGGTTAAGAAAGCAGGATTACTAAAATATGAACTATGTATACAAATAAAATATTTTTAAAATTTTACCATTAATCTCTGCTTGAAATAGAATTTAAATATTGTTAATTTATTATTATTATCGTGTAAACTCCTGCGCATGCTCCTGGATTGCCATGACAGAATTGGCGTTTCCCAATTGTCAGTTAAAAAATATAACAGATAAACAGACGAATTGTACAGAACGTTTCCGAGAGGCTTACCAATAGGAACCGTATAAATACAGATACCAACCATGTCGACCGTTGAAACGGAGCCTCCAGGGAAGATGGAGGGCGATGCGGATTTTGACCTTCCGGCCGGGGAATTGGAAACGCAGGAGGGCGTTGCTGGTGCCCCTTTATCGTCAAGACGCAACAAGCCGTACTTCAAGAAGTTTAAAGAGCCGGATTCCGATGAGGAAGTGGCTGACCCGCGAGCCCTCTTCAGTGTCCAGGACTCCTGGCGAACCCTTATGTCGCTGCCCAGCTGCCAGAAGGTTATGGTGTCGTAAGTAATGGAATAAATACTGTAAAACCTATCCTTGTTAATTCTTACGCCCACAGAGATAAAGTTCAAAAGATACTGAAAATCGAAGTGGGCATCAATGTGACGCAGGAATTTCCCTGGAAGCAGGTGCAGTTCAAGGACCTTCGCGATGCTCTCTTCGACGAACTGGAGAATTCGGCTGAGCTGTTGAAGAAGTTCAAGAACTTCAATCCGGACTTCTACGTTCTTCTGGGCTTCTGTCCCTTATTGACTGAACAGGATGACGATCCTCCCGAGGGCGACCCCTTCATCTTCTACTCGAGCATCAAGGAGTCCAAAATGGCCATGAGTATTATCCAGAATATGGAGCACTTTGATCGTTGGCGAATGCAGCGTCGTCTGAGAAAGAAGCCCAGGCGATGGGTGAGCCATGGAACCGACGAGGAGATGACCATCCTGGTGGAGCGCTTCAAGGACGAGCCCATCGATGTGGAGATCCAGAGTGTCTATCCCATTCAGATGCCGCGGCACATTGCCTTCGATTACAGGATGACAAAGGATGTCAGAGACGGAGTGATCGAGCTCTTGCCCAACGAGAACATCAAGTGGGATAATGTGACTAAGAAGAGAATTACGGTTTCGGTGCAATCTGCTCCTCCTAAGATCGATCAAGAGCAGCAAACAAATCCCACTTTTCCCTCGAATGCCTGGTCGCAGTATCTCTACGAGATTGATGATGAGGGTGGGTTTTGAATAGTTCTGATTTTGGATTTTATAGATTTTAAACCTACTTTTTAGATCTTGAACTGGATGAAAGCGAGGTGGACGAGGAGGAGGAAAAGAGGAAGGCCCAAGCCAAGCCAGGAACTTATGTCGAACCCGTTAAGCCTCCACCTGAAATGTCTGCCCAAATTGAAATGCTGCTAAATACCTTGGACTTTAATCAGATTGACAGCTATCGGTAATCATTTCATTATATAATAATCTGCGTTGTTTATATATTAACTAATCATTTATAAACTTGTTTTCAGCGACGACTATACTTTGATATCCAATCGACAAGTGGTGCAGTACACCAATCCATATTTACAGGAATTCCTCTGCTTTGCAAATATCTCCAAGAGCAACAAGCGTTTTGTGGCAGGATACGACTGGTATCCGACTTTGTCTGGATTAATAGCGGTTTCCTATGCCTTTAGCACTCAGGTAACCATAAACGAGGCCAGCAATCGGGTGGATTATGTGCAGCGGGCAGTTCTCGAACCCAATCCCGTACTTCTCTGGAGCTTCTCGGATAATCTGAACTACAAGTTGGAGTTTGAGGCCCCGATCGAGAGCACCGCTCTGACCTTTTGCCCTTTCAACGGGGATATCCTCATAGGAGGCTGTAAGAATGGTCAGGTGATTCTGTGGGATATGCAGGGCAGGTGCGAGAAACTGGACGAAGAGGAGTATTTGACGGCTGCCCAAGCTAAGTATCGAGTGATGATCGGGGAGTTCCTGAACTGGACTATTGACATAGAAGACAATGTCGTCACACCGGCTACGATGTCCATGTTGGAGACCTCGCCAAAGGGAGCCATCACGGCGTTTTACTGGCTGGCTCGATCGATATATCTGAGTCCGTTTGGCAAGGTTTACAACGACCCCGATACCCGGGTGCACCACAAGTTCTTCGTAACTTGCGCCTTCGATGGCACCATAAGCTTCTGGGATCTCGATGGCAAGGGGAAGGGCGGCAAGGAGAAAATGCGAAACAAAATGCTTCCCAAGGCGCTGACCCAAAACGAGTCTCCCTTAAAGTCGCTGAACATCAAGCCCACGTACAATCTTTACTTTCCGGAACCGCTGACTGGAATAATAGCGGATACCTCCTGCTTTTCGACCCTCACGCCTGTTTCAAAGTTAATCCTCGCGAATCCCTCTAATTATCCCATCAAAACCATAGCCAAGGATCCGCCAACTATGCGGCAGAGCATGATAGTGTCCACTTTCTATGGTCACGTCAGTCGAATCGATTGGCAGGGCACTTATGCGGAGGGAGAACCCACGGAGACGATCAATGCGTCGATCCCATTTGCCATGGTCCATGATGGACCCGTGGTGATGGTGAAGAAGAACCCCTTTTATCCGGAGCTATTCGCCTCCATTGGACGCACCATCCTGGCCATTTGGAAGGAGGACTACAACTACTCGCCGATATTTTGGCGCAAAAGAGCCTGTGATCTCACCGCAGTCGCCTGGAGTGAAACGCGTCCTGCAGTTTTGTACTTGACTCGCATAGATGGGATTCTCGAAGCTTGGGATATATTGGGTAATATAAAAACTTTCCTTTCTTTTAATCAAATATTAACCATCACTTCTGTTTCACCAAGCTCGTGATGATGATGCCTGCTTAACCGAGATCCTTGGTGGTGGCATTATCACCGGAATCACGGAGCACCGTCCCTCGCTGCCCCACAAAATCCTGGGCATTGGGGACTACAACAGTAGCATCAGAATGGTCAAACTGCCGCACACCTTCGATGTGCCGCTGCCCAACGAGTTGCAGAAGCTGATGAACTATGTGTTGAAGGAAGAGCGCCGCAAGGTGGGCATCCAGGCATGGGAGCAAAAGTACTACGAGCTCAACAAGGACATCATCGAGGCGAAAAGGGAGGCAGAGGCGGAGACCCGCAAGGAAATGGAACGGTTGGAAAGGGAGGAGCAGTTTGCCACTAGGAAAAAGGGGGCAAAGTCTGGTGAAGAGGGTGCAGGAGGGGAAGAACAAACGTAAGTTTATATACTGTACTATAATTTAATACTTTCATTTATCACTTTCCTTTCCAGAGCTAAAAAGCCTCACAGTGGCCTTAATTACAACGAGAGAATGGCCGTGTTGTGGGACGAACTGAACTTGAACCGAATGATGACCATTCTGATGTCCCGCAAGCAAATGGATCCCGAGAAATTGGCCAGGGAGACGGCTTTGGAAAAGGAGCGACATGCCTACGAGGCGGCCAAGAAGAAGTCCCACTCCGACGTCCTTGCGAGGCTGGAGCACGATATTGCCGCCATCAGGTCGAGAATCCTGCCGGCAGAAATATCAGATATGCAGCGCAGCGAAATGATCCAGCAGCGGGTGAAACGAGAGGTCGAGAATGCCGACACCTACGAGCAGGTGTGCAAGGACTCCTTCGAAATCCTGGAGTCGTTCGAAGACTTCAAGCCCATCGACTACATTGAGTTTTTGGAGCGTGGTCGCCAAAGGCGTCGGTTGTTGGACCAATCTTTGGGTGGGAACACAGATCGGTTGCGGTGGTACGAGGATAGGGTCAGGTTGGGGGAACTGGGCGAGTGTCAGTTTGGTTATGAGTCTGTTCACAACTCCCAGGCGGAGGCATCAAGCCAACAGGATTTAGTGGTTGTGGCGTCCAAATCGGGCAGTGATATTGTCGCAGAAGCGGATGAATTCGAAGGCTAATCGTTTCGGTTCTTCGTTGAATTTACTATGTGCCAGCAAATTAAATATTTATGAAACATCAATTACTTTTTTCTTGTAACTTAAATTATAGTTAAGTACTGAAATTGAATTTTGGTAAATTTTCAGCGAACCCATTTTATTGGAAATTTGGAAAGGTATAAAAATTTTTCTAATAATGCAGTTTGTTATAGAATCAATATACAAACCTTTAGAGGTATGCCACTTGAAAATCTGATTAAAATTAGAAAAGTTATGGACTTAGAACTGGTGAGAATTGGTTAATTTTCAGCAAACCAATTTTTTGGAAATTTGATTTATCATTAAAATTGAAAAAAAAATCGGCCAAAAATAAAAAAAAATTTTAATGATGCAGTTTTTATAAAATTAAAATTCAAACATTTAGAAGTATGCCACTTCAAAATCTGAATAAAATTAGAAAAGTTTTGGACTTAGAAGATAAAGGAAACCTTTGTTTGGCTCTACTTCTTGCTGAAATAAGTCTTATAAAAAGAGAAAGTTAAACCCCAAGCTTAAAAAACTTCTGCCTAAAACGATGATTAACCTTTTTGTTTGTTTGCTTTCTGCCTCCTTTATGCTTTATTGTTTAATGTCGCACACTTAATTTTTAGATGATGTTTTTCCCCGTATTTTACTACCCTATTGGCCATTTAAGGTGACCCACCCACCGTGCTAAACGGTTGACTGCCTTCGGCCGTTTGCCAAATAAATTTCGGCTCTCAATTAGGGGCCCGTTGAACCTTGAAGCCGTGCTTCCGCTCGCCGGCCAGCTGTCGAGTTCAAGTTTATGACATTTCTAGGCGCACTCGAATGAAGTCATCCCGCGGACGAGGCGTGCCCCGGGTTTAATGAACCTGCCCCCGTAGTGGTGGAAAGTCCGTGGTCGCCAAGTTGAGCTGGGGGAATTCCCACGCCCATACGAATATCTCTGGTCACTCCAGTCCGAGTACTTTGGCTAAACTGCAGTCAAGCGGGCTAAATGCAAACCGACAGCGGCAGTCCATCATTTTCGCAAGCAGATAATGATATACATTTCGGAAGCAATGCATCTGAACTTTACCATAATTTCGAGTGCATTATTATTGGCCCGCTCTGGGCAGTTGGAGCAGCAGTTTTCGTTGCATCATCATCATCATCAGCGTGGCCAACGACCACCTGTTGTCCTTAAAGCGATAAGTATTAAGTGATTTTTCGACAGCCGCTCTCGAGTTTTCCTTTTATTTATTATCACAAATTTCGTGCGCTTGCGTGCGTCTGCAACTGAGGCAAGTGCATTTACATAACAATTGGCCTTTGAATTCAAATTGGCATCGCTCTTTTTTTCCCGGTCCATCGAGCCCGGAGAGACTGCATTAAGATCTGCTTACCGCCATTTAAAATAATTTACGATCTTATGCAAATCGGCGTTTTTGTTGCACTAGCCCCCCAAATCGCGCCACTTGCCACCGTGACTCGACATAATGCTCGTCGGCCAGAAACTAAATGCACACATCGATTATTCACGCCCATTGTGCAGAGGGGAAAAGTGATTCGAAAAAGCTACAGGTGTCATACCCATTTAACAAATTGGCACTTGGTGGATATTCGTTGGGATTTTTGAATAAGAAAAATACAAGAAAGTAAATAAAACGTTTTAGTGATATATCTACCAAAATATTTCTTATTTGCTTGTTTATCTAATCTTGTATTATTTAATTTACATTTAACTATTTTCACACAGAGTGTTACTCATGACAAATTTTAGTTTGTTAGACTATCTGGATGCACTGCGGTAAACTTGCAAAACTCCTTAAGGCGTTGCACCAACTTTTTGCAGGCATCCCGCTCGCCAGAACCACTCGTCTTGGCCATCTCGCTTAGCAACTCCAAGATGGTGCACATAAAGCTGTCGAACTCCTCTTCATACTCAGAAATTCCCTGTTCGAATTCCGGGGAAGTATTGTCCCCTGATTTGGACTCCACGAAGCCACAAAAGTTGAGGCACACTTGACCAAGGGTAAATAGAGATCCTACAAAAGTGTTGGTGGCGGAAAGAAGCCCCAATCGAAGGCATTCGTCAACGGTGTTTTCCAGCTTATTGACCACCTCATCTATGTTTTCAGCCTTATCCACTGTCAAGCTCAACGATTGCCATCGGGGCTCTGCGATATCCAAAGTAATGTGGTGCTCAAGATTTATCATACTCATAAGCATCCGTTGGCGAAGATCTCCCGATCGTTTTGTGATTTTAAGACCAGTTCCCTCCGATGGATTTTGCCACAGGACTGTCAAGTGTCGTGTAACATATCGAAGATAGAACAATACGCGTTGTAGGATTTGCATTTGCTCCAGAAGCTCCGGATAAAGAACAAAACTAAGTGGCCATTTGGCCTCATAACGAAGGGCTATAGCTTCGTATCCATAGAGATTCAGATCTGGTAGATCCTCCTCGCTGGTCTTCTCCTTATCCCTATCTTCCTGTTCGGTACTTCCGAATTTATGCATCCTGCCCAGTTGAGTGGCCGCATCGCAATTCTTGATTTGAATGCGCAGCTTATCCTTAAAGAAATCATTGTTGTCCTTCAAGGTCTCCGTTAGCAAAGGCTGAAGTTTCTCAGGAATCAATTTATCCGAGATGCACTGCAGTTGCTCCTGGCATTTATCCAGCAGACTCTCCGAGAATCCTTCCAACTGCATCAGGAAGTATAACCTTAAATTGCGAAGGTGCAATGCCAAGCTGTGCTCCTTCATTAGAACCTCCAAAAGTTTCTTTGCTGGCAAGTCGTAACTATTTTTGATAATCTCTACATGTCCTGTTTCCCCAGGAGTATAACTAAGTGGCAGTTGCAGCAATTTCATTGTCACATTGCACTGGCGCAGGATATTCAGGTACTTTCCGGCCAGAAAAATTTCATCTACCTGGGAAAGCAAAAAAGCTGGCAGGCGATTCGGATGAAGGATGTATCTCTGGGACCAGTAGGTGTGGCAACATTTTTCGGGTGCCAATAAAGTACAACTCATGGCATTCGAGGGTTCCGAATCCTCCACAAAAAACTCATGCTGCGCATCGTATAAAACACCTTTTTGAGTCCACAACTGAACAATCTTCATATAGGCACGGGTCACAAAAGCCAGTATTTTTGAGACCCTTTCCTTTAGATCGGGTTCCGTGATGTTTTGATCCCGAGGAAACTGATCCAATAGTGTCAGCAACTGGGCGCTGTTCAACTTCCCGCGGGAACTACAGGCCATAGTGGAAAAAATCTTCAAAACACCTAACCAAGGTTTAACCTGCCGAACCAAATCCTTCAGATTCAGCTTCTTCTCTAGCTGGTCTGTCTCCAACTTGGATTGCAAATCATAGTACTCCTGCATTTGGTCACTGAAAGCGGTGGCCAAAGCCAGACGAGTTCTTCCACAGTTCGGCGACATGTTGGTCTCCTCAATGAAACTCTGAACACTTATGTAATAGCCGACCAATGGCAACGTATCATTGGCCAAGACCCTGAAGGAACCATGAAATGCCTCATCCACTCGAAAGCGCACTTTGGCTATATCCAGTGCAGTCATATTGGCTATCTTATCAACCTCGATATCGGGTTTAACATGCGAGGATGGAACCCCGGAAAAGGCATAGATAAGATCCCGAATTAAGAGCTGTTCCTGACGCGAAAGGGGCATCTTGCCCACATCCTCGTTCGGCAAGTAGTAACCTCCAACGCTCTCCATGGTCCAAGATTCTTGGCGAGGCAAATCGTTCAACGAATTTGTGCTTTGACTACGTGCATGGCTTCCACTTCCGGTAGGCCTATCCTTGGCATCCGATGGATCGCCACGATCGTGGATGTATCGCATTTGGCGTTCCAGTTCATCCTTGCTCAGGTGGAACCGCACCTTTTCCGTAAAATCATTGTCCACTTTAGCACGATCCATCGAAAATTGTGAAAAAGAAAATATATAAAGAACAAAGTTTTCGACTCTGAATTCGTTCGGTATTGTAAGCAACAACAAAAGTCAACTGAATGACGCTATTTTAAATGGAGTTCAAAACAAATAAACATTTTGAATAAATTAAAACAAAAACAATTGCAAATTTAACGGATTCGATTTAAATGAAATTTTTAACAACAAAAGAACTCCATAAATGTAGAAATCAAGTCGAAATCTTCTTGTTATTGTTTTATAATTCCATATTTAATTAATTAATATGTGTTCCATTTTCCAGATACGTTAGTTATTTTTCTTCACTTTCCTACAAACCGTACCAAACGATAGTTCTTTAGGTTATCCGACTGAATCGCTGAATGAACATCGAAATTCATTAAGCTAAATCAGCTGAGCTTAGGACCGAGATCCCCCACAGCCCATCGTACCCAGCGGCGACATCTTCCGTTTTTTTCCAACGAAGCCTCCAGCCACAGGTGCATTAAAGCCCATACTCCAAAGACCTCAAGTTGAGCTGCGCTGCCTGAAGAGCAGCTGTCCATCAAAGAGGGAAGAAAAATCAACCAATGAACGTGATGAGAATTTTCCATCAATTTCTCCGCGATGGGAACTTCAAACTTTCTATGTGCCCGTATCCAAAATTTGAACACACCGAAAACAAAATATAATACTAAAAATGAAACCACAAATTGTACGATTTAATTTAGTGCTTATTAAAAAAAAATATATATATATATGATAAAAAATCTTATTTATATAACAAGCTTAGGCTTTAAAATTTTCTGATATAACATTTAAACATTTATGTAATATGTTTATGTTAAACAACATAATCATTTTGCCCACTTTTTTTCATAATAACTTATCAAAAGTATTCGAATATTTTTTTAATATTTATCCTTTCATTTTATATCCAAAAAATTTCCAACTGTTCATGTGTATCAAAGATACTCGAAAATATCGCACAGGCGACGAGATAACCATGAGAACACTTATTTATGGGCTTTTGTCGCGTGAGTGCCACTTGTCGTTTTTTGTTGCTACTGTTGCTGCTGCTGTTGTTGTTGTTGTTGTACGTGTTGTACTGGCTGTTGTTCTTGCTGTAGTTGTTGTCTTTGCCCCCTTTTTTGTTGCTGGGTTGATTTTCTCGTTGTTCTCATTCTAAACAATGCAAATGCATCGTCAGCTTTACTGGCTCTGCCTCCACCTCTGCCTGCAGCGACGTCGCCGTCGACAGCGACATTAGCATAAATAAATAAATAACCGTACTAGCAACGAGCGGGTAAATAACAAAATAACAACACGGGCAGCAACATTAATCTGCGGTCGAAAGCTTTCCGATGGCCGCTTCCATGGGCTTTAGTCTTCCTCGCGTTTTATAGCGGCCACCGAAAACACTTGTTTGCCTTCGTCGCCTAGCGGCACTTGCACTTCGACGGGGTTTCGCTGCAAGGGAATTGCCTAGAAACGCCCACACAGTAGCCATAGTGGCCAAGTACAGTGGTAACAGGATCAAAAGATTTACTCGGAAATTTTTATTAAAATTATATAATCTATGTTGAGCTAATAAGCTTTTTTATTAGCTGTTGAATTAAAAAGACGAAAACTTAGAGTTCGATTTCTGCAAAGGCAGCGAATTTATTTAGCAGAAGCGATTAACAAAAATGGTCCGCGAGATCGAAAGGAAGAGTTAGAATTGAATTAAGACGCGGATCAGCCGATTGCTGACCCAAAGTATAAACCAACAAGTAACGAGAGAGAGCGAATAGAAAGATAAAGTGAGAGAGAGAGCGATGGTAATTATGCAGATAAGCTAAGAGCTAGCATTAAGAGAATCTAAATATCTGCTGCGGCTGGATGACCCGACAATCTATATTTTATTAATTAATTATTATTATTAATATATAATAAATGTTCTGCAAATTGGCAGGATTTAAAAAAGTGTTAAATAGGAATATGCCATAAAGACCTTTTGGTATCTTTAAAAAATCTCTACAAAAGGGTAATAGTGCTTTTTATAACTAAAGAAAACTTTGAAATTTTATCTGCAAATATGTGAAGCAATATAATTTATTAAATTATAATTTTATAAGGGTAATTCACAACGTGGTTTTCTGATCAATTTTCCACCCACTGTTCCTAGGCCGTTTATTGCAACAGCACCACCTTCGCCTTCACCGTAAAATGGGCTTCCACTCCGTGCTCACATTTCGCTGGACTGTTGCTTTTTGTGGGCGCTTCTGCCTTTGCCGGCAATCAAATTGAGTGCAAAGCTCGGTTAAAAGCCAAGTATTTGGACAGCCAGAGAGGTGTGATGAGTGTGATGTGTGTGTTGGGAATGCAAAAACGGTTTCGATTTTTTTTACACAATTTTTTCCGTCTTCTGTTTTTGTCTCGTTTCGGTCGGAGCTCCCTCCCAACTTATTGCATTATTTATGTGCGAGTAGTACGATTTTTCTGGGTTTCTCAGTAAGCCACACGCACGCGGGCCGCGCCAGTAAAATGTATAAACAAAACGCGAAAGGCCCGGAAAAAGTGTGAGTATCGCCGGTGACAATCGCAAGTGCAGGGCTCTCTCTGTCTCTGTCTCGTGTCTCAAGTCTCAAGTCGCCGATGGGTTTCGCTCTCCTGCTCACACTCACTCAAAGTTTGCCTAGGCGGAGAAGCAAACTCGGCGGCATTCTCAGTCAAACAACAAACGCAACTGAAGTAACAACGAGTCCGTACCGCGTACCGCCCCCAAAACAAAAGTGAAATTCTAGCAGCGGCGCGGTCTTAGCCATATATCCACCCAGGAATATCACTGTCTGTTAGCCAGAAATCACACAAATTCAATCGAAAACCGCCCCCAAAAGTTATGGTATTTGATTCCGAAGAAATCGCGGTCGAGTGCAGTGCTTAATGTTCCAGCTGCGCAGGGAAGTCAGCGAGAGGTTCGGAGTCTGGGTGCAGCGCCTCCTCGTCATCGTCCTGCACCTTTGGCACCGCTCCAGCATGTCCTTCGTCCATCGGCGGAAGGAGGCGTTCAAGTGGATAAAACGCCGGCTGGTCAGAAGACGATGTCACGTGAGTGCACCGAAAGAAATACGCTAGCTCAAATCTTACCCATTAAATCTACCTTTAAAACTATGAATGTATTTTTCTTACATTTGTATGAGCTTTGAAATGAGATCACTTCTCGGTAAATACCGCCATTGAGTTATGCCAATTTAAAATGGTGTTAAAAATAGGGTAGGGTGGTGATAAATTTGACTTAAAACAAAAAGCACATTTATTTATATAATACGAAAACGGTTGTAAATAAAACGAAGTTATTATGAAGCTGTTTATTTTTTTTAGAGGCAGCTGTTTTAAAGCTGCAGTATGATTTTTTAGTGAGGATTCAAACATTTGACAATACACAACAAAAACCTTGTGGCGTTTTAGAAGTAACTTAGTTTTTCCATTATTTACTTGGAGAAGATCAGTTTTCAGGAGTACCCTTAATATACGAAAATCGCTAATAACAGTCAATAATAATAATAGCAAATAATGACCGTAGCCACATGCAAACGTTTTTTCATTACTTTAATATTTAGCACTTTTTTCAAGTCAACAGCAGCTAGAACTATAAGTACTAAATTAATTTTTATATTGCTAACAACAGTATACAGAGATGTTAAACTAAATGACTGACTTTAGCACAATATAGTGAAAGTCAAATATTAATTTTAATAATTTATGTCGTAATAATGAAAAACTTGACTGCAAGATGGCTGAATAATAATAAGAAAGCTAAGTAACTAGTTTGCTAATTGGGGTAAAATTTTTTATCTATGTGGCTCATCCTTTGAGTTGCAAAGAGATCCCAAGTGGGTCATCACACCACGGTGCAACCCTTAGATTTTAGCTGGAATTCAATTAAAAGTTATTCAGACGCCGCAAATTCAATTAAGTACAATCATTTCGGGCTTTCGGTGCAATTTTTAGCTAATTCTGACTTTCCTGTGAATCGGGGCACAGCCGGCTGAAGAAGGGTTAGAAAAGTTTCGCACTCGCGTGACTCGCTATAATTTCTCCATCAGAGTTTGGAGTGGTCTGAGGTCGAGGTGCCCACTGTCTGAGGCTTTGTTCCGTTTCCGCTCTCTGCCGGTTTTGCCGGGTGGGTGTGTCCATCGACCTGGCGGAGACATAGGCTTGGTTCTAAATTCTTCATCCCCCGGTATCCAAACATCCCATCTACTCCACCCAGCAACGAAAAGAAAAAAAAACAGTTGGCGTTGAGCGATTATGGCTGTCAGGTTGAAAGGCACTTCCATCCTGTTATCAATTCAAACAAACGCCAAAATGCCACAAATGTGAAAACTAACCGACCGACGGGGGGCCGTTAAGAGGCCCCCAAATTGTGCAAATCAAATTGAATGCCGTTTTATGAAAGTTGACTTTGCCGCTGATTTTTGGCAATTATTTGTAGTTGGCATTTGTGCGATTTCGAAATTTCTGTGTTTGTAACAATGCGGATCTCAAGCAGAGCACGTAGGGGTTAGGTTGAACGCCCCTGGCATTTTAAAAAGTTTTCTAATATTTAGGCAGCAACTGATATGAGCCAATAGACTGAAAAATGGGTGTTTTACTTTTATGACATTGGGCCGGGAAACTGGTTTTCAATAATAAATGGGTGGGCTAAATAGAGTAAAGGCCACAAAAGGGATTGAAGTTTAACTTTATTAATTATGATGACCTCAAAAAGATATGTCATCAACAGGTTTTAATTAATACTGCAGTTGAAAAGGGCACATGATTTCTAATTAATAGCAGTCACAAAACCTGTATCAAATCACGAACTAATGACTCACAATTACCTCCGCATCAAGCCTAGAAATTAATTGACTTTAGTTGACTGCGGAAATATTGATTCTATTGCTCACAACCCAATTCGCGGTGAAACATTATTCTAACGCTCGTTCGCATTACAATTGAAAATATGGCAGACCCACCGAGAAGAGCACTTAATACTTATATTTATGGCCCTCGGTGCGGCCCATATTGTTTATCCCGCTGGCAAATGTTTATTCTCGCCACTCGAAGTTTCAGCGACGACTGCCCAGATTTAGTGAAACTAAAGCGGCGGAGTAAACACTCATCGCGTGTTCCGATTATCGAAATCGCATGGGGATCTCGAAGCCAGGAACCGAAAGGAACCCCAGCTCGTTAGCGGTACCCGCTTTTATTTTCAGGAAAACGCAACTCTGAGATCGTAAACAAATGCCTGTCAAATGGCATAAGCCAAACACCGACAAAGTAGCAAACAAAATATATATGGACAGCCCCTATATACATGTCCAATTTGTATATGAGAACTTGCCAAGTTCAAGGCAGAAGTTGAAGATGTCTATATGATGTTTTGTATCCACAATTATGGCTGAGGGATGGGCCCAAAACAAAGGGTGGGGGCTAAAGAGCGGAACAAACAATAACTTGCCGCATAAAACAGACCCAAGTCCCAAGCCTGAAATGCTGACTAAATGGAAGCGAATGATATTTCTTAGTTTGGCAAGTCGATGTTTTAAATACACTTTAGAATAATATAATAAAAAAATAAATAAATACATCTGTAACTATTTTTTTTAATATTTTAAAACCCATAAAAATTTTTCTTTAGACCCAAACATAATTGGACATTATTCTACCTTAAGACTTTAAATTGTTTTCATTTCATTGCCGAAATTCAAATTCTCATGCCAATATGTAAATATATTCCTTCCCTGATTGTATTCTAATGCAACCGGTGACCAAGCGACTGTCAAAGCTGAGATATCCTTGGCTTGCATCACTATAAATCACCGATAATTGTGGGTGTGTTGTGTTTATTGTATTTATTGTTGTTGCTGCCATTGATGTTCCGCGAGCGTTTTTCTGCCGGCCATTCAATCAGGCGGTTGAGTCAGCTGAGCTTGAATAGAGCGCAAAAAGCGAAAAAGCCCAGGCGAAAAATTCAAATAGGCGTTCGCACGCATGGAAAATCATTGAAGCCTGCAGTAGAAAAGCGGGGGGATGGTGGTTGGATGGGTGAGTATCTGTGAGTTACACCCTCGATTCACCGGGGCTTTTCCATTTCGCGCTCCGCTCATTTCAATTTAGTTGGTGCAAAGCGGCCGCCGCAAACGCTTTGAACTCGTTTCCCGGACAGACGGACCCATGGGTCTTGACGTTTTTCCTATATTGATCTCCTTGGCCGATCCAAAAAAAATAAACGAAAAAAATATCTAAAAAAAAACGCCCCGTTCAATAAAATCTGTGCGCGTTTTGATTTTTTGGCGCGTTTTTCATTTGTTTTGATTTCGCGTCTCGGAACCTTTTTGGCTTCGACTTGGCTTCAACTCTGGCTCTTTCCTTTAGGCCACACAACTACGTATTGATAAATTGCCAGCCGACGATTTCCGTCGTGACCCGCGCGTTATGCAAAATGCTCAAAATGTAAATAAATATTAAAATAATACACAAGATCACGAGAAGGGGGAAGCGCCGCCGTCTGCCACACTGCCTTCCTTTTGTATGCGCCCAGCCTGTTGCCTTTGTTGGTTTAAGCCGTCCATTTATTTTCTTATTTTTGCTTGCCTGTGCTGTGAGAAATGAAGTGAATCTGTCTGCCGGTCCACCGAACGCCTGTACGACGAACGGCGATCGCTGAACGCCAAGTGAATCGCCATTGCAACAATAATAATAAGGAATAATAATAATAATGCAAGCCGACAAATTTCGGAGTGCCTTTTCCTTTTATTTATGAAAACAATAAACGCAACACAAACCACGCATTAAAGGCCCGTACCCCGAAAATCCCGGCTTGGTCCGAAACCGAACCCGAACCCGAACCCGAATCTGGATTGGAAGTGCCGGCGGTTTCCTGGCACGCATATAATTTGCATGTGGATATCGATCTTTATGACCGGAGACGGAGACGGAGACGCTTCCACGATGGCTTATGTAATCTGGAAAATATTCATGAAGCAATATGCCCGACTGCGCTACGATCCGCAGCCCCTCAGTCCCAAGTTGATCTGGCACTCGTACGCTGCGATTGAGACGGTAGGTCACCCCTTACATATATCCCTCGATATAATGCCCCTCCATTCGGGGTCACCACGTAGCCGTGACTCTTTGGCCCGCTTCCCTGCCCTTTATTGATTTAAATTGAGTCATTTTTCTCGGTTTCTGGCCATCGGCCATTGGCCATACAAAGTAATTGTAGATTAATGTGGCTAGCTTTAAGTGAGCGCTCAAGACGACGAGGGTTCATACTTTTGAACGCGGTTCATATTTTCAAGTGTTTTCTTGGGTTTTTGGGGGCGTGAAAGTTGATTTGTGATTAAACGGCGGCCAGTTCGTTAAGGGAAGTTGGCGAAAGTTTTAACATTGCATGGTGTTTTGGGAACAACAGGTTTCATTCAAGGGGATCTTTAGGATGTGGGAGCTGCTGGCCATATTTTACTCGGATTTGGAAGCTCCGTTTAGACTGGGGTTCAGCTCTTCCTTGTTCACATGTTATTGCCGCAAAATAAATGGTTGTTAACTCGTTTTAAAGCCCAACTTAACTGAAAGCTGATACATTAAACCTTTTCCCAGCCTCTAATCAATGCCAAATCTTGACCAACTTAAGGAACGAATTTACGACTTTTTCGTAGGCTTACGATTGGCAATTTCCGACACCGAACTAGTTCGATCACACCTCGAATTGGCGTTATTCAATCAGCACTCTACGTATGCCGATGTTTTCCTTGACACTCGACTGCGGCGACAGTTGCATTTCCCGCCCATTAGCGAAATACGATAGTGCGGTATAGGAAAAGTCAAAGCGAAATGCAAAGGAAATAGCCGAGATTTGGCGGGACCGAAAGGCATCAGCCAAAATAGACTAGAAAGAGTAAAAAGTTGTTGTGCCATGCCGGCATGGATGGGTCTCAAAGACACGGGTCCTCGGCGGGACCACCAAACTAGCTAAACGGACTGTCTGCCCCCATTGATAATAACAATCGGGAAAAGTAAGAGATGCAATAATTCAATGTAAAGTGTTAAAATGTCGATATTAATTGCAGAGTGGCAGTGGCAGTAGCAGCACTTGCGTTGGGACTCCAAGTAGTGGCCAATAGTCCCATCCTCCGTTGCCCCCTATTGCATTTAAATAAATTGCGATTATGGCGCAAATGTGGCAGTCAGTGCAGCAATCAGTGCACTGGAAAAAAGTTATAGTTCTTATGTGAATATAGTATATTTTTAAAAAATAAATATTTACAAACATTGCTAAGACACAAAGTGAAATTGATAAAACTTTTTAAATGGAAATAAATCAAATTAAAAATCCTTAATTTATTCTTATAAAATGCAACCGAATATTAGGCTTGAATATTCTTATATTTTATTATTTTTTTTTTTTTTGTAAGTGGCTAATATGATACCAAAATTTCGCACAGTGAACTATGGGTGCAGGTCCTGGTCTTGCACTTGGTTTTCGGTAGTTTCGATGGTGGGGCTTGCGACTCGCCGTGCGCTAATAATATTTATCAGTGGCTCATTTGTTGGCCGGACGAGCGGACAGTTGGCCAAACGGACGAATGGGCGAATGGACAAATGGAGGAATGGGGTCGGCGGGCGGGGAGCAGCGCATTCAATGGCCAATAAACCAAAAAAGCAAATAAAAATTGCAACAGGCAACGATGGCTAATTGCGCCGCCTGTTTGGTGATTTTGCCGCTGTTAACTTGGCTCGCTGGCCAATTTCAAATAGGTGGATGGGTTGGAATGGGATAGATGGGGGCTGTGCATCCGCTGCTCGTCAGCTTTAAACTCAACTTCGGATTCAGTTTTCGGTTGCCGTTTTCCACATTGTTCGGCTGCATTCGAGCCATGCATATTTATTTATCGCAACTGAGTTTTGCATTTTAACTAGAAATCATGCAAAAACGCCGCGACATGCAATGGCAACGAAAAAAAAACAAAAACGAAAATCGGCGACGACGACGAACGGCTTTCAAATCGAATCTCCAAAGCTGTTAAATGCGGTTGAGAGCGATTTTCCCTATGTTTTTTCCTCAGACAGAGACGGCAACAGAGAGACATGAAAATCTGTTTAATATTTTCCCGCGCACTCACGCACGACGTGGGAATTTTTCATCTCGCGACTTTGAGTTTTGAGTTTGAGTTCGTCTTCGCTTCGACGGCGAATCGCAACTCAAAACGGCAACGCATTTACAATGTCTGCGAGGAGGCCGAAACATTGAACCTTTCATAAACCTCCGACAATTGGCAGGGGCTGTTATTCAACGCACGATATGCAAATTTGATATAGGAAATGGGTTTGGTAATCGAATGAGCCGATCTGACCTATAAGTGGAAGGAAGTGCAATGGCTTCCCTGGAAAAAAGTCGGCTTTTATTGTTAAATAACAGTGTGCAATCACTTAAAGGTGGTAAACACCTAGACTGATGAACTTCAACAATGCATCAATGAAACTAGTTGCTTTTAATAAGATTTATTTTACTACGAATCGCTTTAACATTTAATTGGGCAATATTTTTCATTTAATTTCCAACTAACATTTAGCCTTGCCTTTGGGAGATTTAATGAAAAACATCATCAAACAACATATGGAGGATAAATAAAACCCTGGCATCAAGTACGATTATTACTTTTATGTTCACAATTTTTTTTAGTCAGCATCCTATGCAAATGGATTTTCCTATTGGCCACCCCCGCTGTTTACCTGTCCAGTTTTCAGTTTCTCTTTCTATAACCTTAGTCTGAGGTTAGGCCGGCCCATTAACGACACGCATTCGCAGTCATTTTCAATTTCTTACCGCTGTCACTTTAATTTGGGAGCAGTGGCAGTTGCAGCCCACGCATTTTAGAGTTCATCTTTGGAAATTCAAGCACACTCTCTATAAAGTTGCAGTTTTCACCACCTACACTACCATTGCGGTTGTCTACATTAAAAGAAATTAATGTTTAATGGACCTTGAATAGTATTCATTTTTATAAGCTATAAATAATAGTATATTAAATAATGATTTTTCAAATAATTTATAACCACAAAATCAACTTAACTTTTCTAAGTAACCCACATTAATTCTCTTAAATTAAAAAAAAAAAAACCTTTAAAGAAAATTACTTTCAAAGTTTTGGTCGACCCATTCTTGTGTGTTTTCATGTTTTTACAGCAAAAGTCAAAGTGTGACACCCGCTACAATCTCCAACGAGCAGTCAGTCAGTTAACAAATTAGTTACTGACGCAATATTTCTGTGTATCTCTGCGCTATCAAAATCACACGCAATAAATTTAATTTGTTTTGTGGGCAGCTGTGTGGCAGAGGAGGCAGTGCCTCCAAATGGCAATGGCAATGACAGTTCCAGCTATTCGGCTTTTAGGCCCCGGCTCTGGCTCTTTTGCAGGTGCCTGCTCGGAGTAGGTTGTCCAATTAATAAAAGAAAACGCAGTCATAATGTTTTGATTAACGCAAATGTGACAAGAGATGCATAAAAATTAATTTCCAATCTTGTCCGAGTCCACTAAATCAAAAGGGGAGTGGATGCCCGATTCCGATTTGGGTCACAGCGGCGTTAGGTGAAACCGTAGATGCGTGAGAGAGTGCTGGATTGGATCGGATCGGATTGGTATACATTTAGATACATGGAATAGCCCCAAGGTTGTGCTGTCGGTGCAGTGAAGCGACCTTCCTTTAATGGCTTGTCCAGCCAACTAGTGCAACATTTTCGATTTCCTTTTGACGCGCGGCCATAATTTGAACAGCGGGCTAGCAGAGTCGGCTGCTGCTGCAAAGTCACCGCCTCAGCCACCGAACCACCGATCCAACGACCCACTGCCCAAGACTCACGCATCGCTGAAAAGCCACCGAAACCCCAGCCAAAACGCCCCCGGGCGAGTCGGGCCCATTCCGAACCGAAAAAACACAGCCAAGAGCCAACCAAAAGCAAAGCAAACCAAACCCAGCCAAAACCAGACCAGTCGGGGCAATTAATTGATGAGCAGTGCCCGGCACTTGGTCAAGAGTTGGCATGACAGCAAATTGCATTTGCCTCAGATTCTGGCTGTTTTTTTTTCTCAAATCGTGCGTGCCACTGCCATGGCCACTGGGCACTGGTCTTTGAGCCGGAATGCTGTGCCAGAATCATGCACTTAACAAAAAGTGGAATGCCCGTGGAATAAAAAAAAAAATAGAAAGAACCCTAACATTTAATTCAATTTAAAGATTGTATTAAACTTTAAACTTTTGATTTAATAGTTATTAAATAATTATTATTTTATATTTAACTAATATAACTTTTATTTTTATTGCTCCGCACCGTTACCATTTTTCTCGCAGTGCCTGGCCGAAAAAGAAAATATTGATGATATATTTATTGGTATTTATTGGCGTCGCTTCGGCCGCACTTCAAAAAGCCCGGCCTGAACAAATTGTGGAAATTTATAAGCTCCGACAACAGAAATCTGTGTCTTTGTGGGCCAGTACTACCAATTGGTAGGAGGGTCCGGGGTCCGAGTTCGAATTCGGGGTCTGAGCCTCATTCAATGAGCATGCGCAGGCGCCGCAGGGCGACATCTGGCGGCCATCACTAGCGTTTTAGTCACCGCCACGAAGGACCAAAAGCTATTGGCCAGGACTTGCAGAGCTAGCCACATTCCTTGGCCAAGTTAGTTGCTAAATTCGTTTGGGCGTGGAAAGGCGAGTGAGTGGATAATGGGAAAATAAATGGAAAAGCGCCGGCATCGCACAATGTCACATTGTTGGCCACAGACCGAAAAGTATTTCGGTTCGGCAACCGAAAAACCTAACATGCCAGGCTTTTGTTATGTGTGTTATGGTCAAAGTTTGGCTATTTTCGAGGCCGCATCCCCATCCCCAGATCCCCATATCCCCAAACTAAAAACCACATCCACTTTCACTGCAAATTTGTGTGTGCCTCGGTATCTGAAAGAAAGTGAATTCTACTGTGCTACACTTGACCTATGACAACGACTACGACAACTGAGGCAGCAGCTACAAACATCCCCACAAACTACAAACTACTAACTGGAAACGAACGTTTGACGTTTCATTTGATTGTCATGCAACGGGGCCCCCCGCTCTCACCTCCTCACTCCCTTTCCCTAGTCTTGTCTCTCGGATCAATGCTGTCCCCAATTGATTTCTGTTTAACTTTTAACATGCAACAAGGCGCACTGCGCCGCTTCCCCCTTGTATCTTTGCATGGGAAAGTGGATCGAAGCTAGGAACTTTCAGTCTAAAAGCTTTGTATTTATAAAACTAATTACGATGTTAATAAGACACATTAGTTTAACTATTACGTAGGATTATTATATGAAACTTATATGATAGCAATTTCTGTAAGTTAAGTAAAATACAAAGTCAGTTAAAATCTACTTAAACCACCAGTTCAAGAATTTTAAATATAAAATATAAATAGTTTCGAAATATCTTAGCTATCTGCCCTCTATTTTTTATTGCATTTTCATATAAATAATTTTGGCTGATTAAATTAGTAGCTATTTTGTCCCACTGTCTGCCCCCTGTTGCCAGTGGCAACCGAACGAATTGTGTTTAATGCGGCTCTTTGCTTTGGCCATTGCATGTGCCGAGCCAAAGAACTTTGGCCCATTTGAAATGCGGCAATTGTGTATCTGGCGGATACACAAGCGCACTCTGAACTCCACACGTGTCTGAGGTCTTTTTTCTTAGCTTTTCCCTTCTGCATTTTCAGACGACTGACACGAACATCGAGGCAGGGCGAGCCGAAGCAGCTGTTTCTGGTTCAGGAGCAAGAGCAGGAGCAGGAGCGGAATTAGCCGAGATCTTGGTGCCGAATGACACGCAAATCGATGCCGCTCCAGGCGGGGGAAGTGCAGGAGGTCAGATCCCGAACCTAGAAGCCACGCTCTTGACCACTGACAGGGACATGAAAGAGGCCAGAACTGCGCCCATAGCTCGCGATGAGGAGGACCCGGAGGCGGAGGAGGAGGAGGTGGCACCGCAGGAGGAGGAACTTCGAGAGGTGGAGCAGCTGTCCGCGAATGCTAATTACGTGTGCTGTCGATACCCGGGAACGAGCTCTGCGGCAGCAGCAACTTTGAACCGCAGCAAGTCGCGGGTTCAAAAGTATCTCAAGAAGTGCAAACAGCGACTAACGGGTCAGCCGAGGATACCAGCCAGCAGTTCCTCCACAACCACCATCACCCTGGTCAGGAATGAGCCAGCAACTGCCACCATCGAGGAGAGGGAATCCGAGGAGGAGCTGGACGAGCAGGAGGAGGATCTGGCGGGGGAGGAGGACCTGGCGGAGGGCAGCTCCAACGACTATACGGATGCCCTGCCCATCGAATGCAGCTTGACTGCCAGCGTCGCCGAGGAACAACAGCAGGCGGTCGACGAGCTGGAGCCGCCGAAGGAGGAAGTCCCAATGGAGATAGAGGTACGTTTTACACTGGCGGAAAATGTTTCTCAAAATCAACAGAACTTCCATTCAACGGAACTTTTCGAGAACCCATAACTTTGCCAATTTTTGTCTGATTCCAAACTGACATACCTCTACCTCGTTGTAATCGACTCCTTGATAAAACTGCATTCAAAATTTTATATATTCCGATGTTTAAAATTTTGACCCCCGTTCATGTCAGATTTTTCCATGTTTTTCGAGGTTTGCCAAAAGGATACTTAATTCCTGAGGCCTACAGCGCATAACTTTGCCAATTTTTGTCAAATTTCAAAGTGGAATACCTCTAAAGGTTTGTAATTGAATCCTAGATAAAACCGCATTAAAAATTTTTCAGTTTCCGAAGGTCCAAATTTCTGTGCATGTCAGATTTTTTCAAGTTTTCAATGATTGTCATTATAGTGAACCAAAAGTGGACTTTTTTCCCATGTGCAACCATTATGTATGTTACCCTGAACTGACGAAACCTTCCTCAACTTCTCCTCCGCAGACGAGTCCCGGTTGCAGCGGAATCCCGATCCCCCAGCGACTTCCCGACGACGTGGACGCCACGCTGGTCCAGCTGATTGACAACCATCTGTCGCACATTTATCCCGTCTACTGGGCACGCACTCGTGCGATTTTAATCCAGCAGGCACGTGAGCGACTCGTGTGCGGATTCGACGGCAGTTTGGCCCGCTTCGAGCAGCGATTCCTATGCAAATTTGCGCAAATTGCCACAGCGCTCCGCACGGCCCATCAAATTGGCGAGGTAAGTCCTATAAAGAACCTAGAAATTCGAGCAAAAGATATATCATTTACAAGGCAGTTACTCGCAGCAGGCGAAATTAGCTGCAATTTGCGAGGCTCTCCCCGAATGGTAATGCCAATGAAGTTCTTTAATCGCAGCTAAATAGTTTGCTTTGGTTTCTCCGCCAGAAAGAAATTGTTGGGTAACTGCGTCGAGAAATCGTTGCGGAAATTGGGAATCATCGGGAGGCGATCATCAGGCGATAAGTGTTCTTTCGAGCAAATAGTTGCGAAAATCACAAGGGTGGAGCTGCAAATGGCTTACAATCTAGCCAAGGGGCCTTGCTAATGGGGCTTTCAATGAGCACTTTAATTAAAACAGTGATAGCAACTCTTTGAAAAACTCATTTATTCCACATAAAGTTGGCTACCTATGTATGTAGGTTTATTATTTGTAAATTATAGCTATATCATTCTGAAGCTCAGAAAATATGTATTTACATAATCCCAAAAATGTTAAAGTCATAATTGCACAAATTGCATTTAATACAATATAATTAATCACAAAGATAACCAAGGGTATCGGCACATTCAGCCACATATTATTGAACTTCAATCTGTTCACATTCCTCGCAATTGCAATTAATCTTTCAAGATTATATCACCTACACTCACCAGTGGTTTCCCTTATCAACAAGTCAACGTAAACAGAGAATACCATTTCCCAATGGAATGTGTTAATGTCCTCTGGCTGAGCCAAGAGTATCTTATGATTCCGAGAAAGTATAATTAAAATAACAAAGTATAAAATAATTTTTGTGATAGTAAGTTAAGAGGTAAATAAACCACATTTAACAACATAAAAGATACGTGCTTTAAACAGGAAATTATTTAAAGCTTCCATTAACCTTTTTGATATAATATTTAAAATTATAGAAAATTATTGTTTGCTCTTAAACGTTTCCTGTGTAAATTATTACAAAGAACAAACAATGAGTTTCAAATTTCGCTACCGAGCGTAACAGCAGAGCCACTGTTCGTGCAGCCCTAGCGGTTAACGGTTAACAGAGGCTGTTAAAATAGGTCTAAACTAACAGCGCGCGCGGTGGCACGCCGAGCTCTGTAAACGGGTCTGCCGATTGGATGGATTTCTGGAGTCTCGGAGTCGTGCGGCAGTCAGTTAAATATTTGAACTCGCGGCGCGCAGTCTTGTGAGCGGCAAAAAGCGACTGACTGACTACCCGAAGAAAAAGCGACTCGAAGACGAATATACAGCAGTTCCCAAGTGAGCGACCAAGTGCAACGTGCAACGTGCAACGTGCAACGTGCCACTGCCATTGCTAAGTTCGTAGTTTCGGAGTCTCGCCAGTTTTCGGGGTCCGCAGAGTGTGCCAAAAGAAATGTGCAAAGTATCGCTGAATTAACATGCAAATAAATCGAAATAGCGAAAGAATGCTGTCCGAATAGTGCCTGGAAATACGTTAATAAAGTGCCTTAATGTGTGATCTTTTTACAATCTGCAAGAAATAATCGTAAAAGTGCGAATCACCATCGTATACTATATAAAAAAATATATATACTACTCTCAAGTGCCAAGTGTGTATTTTTGGCCAGAAGTTAACGCTTTATAGCCGTCACATCAACGTAAATCAGAGGATTTCCTCGCCAAGTTTGTTTGAGGTAATTTCTGGTTTCACATTTTATTAGCTAGCGGCCCGCCTGAAGTTCATTATCATTTATGGCCAATAATTGTTGAGTGTTTGTTTCATGGAGTGCGGAATGTAGTGCCTGCCAGTGTGCTTGTTTCCGACCCTGACCTCAGGGTTCATTAAAAATCAATTGTTTTCCACTCGGACTCGCATTCGCATTCGCATTCGCATTGGCAATTTGCATACTTATTACACACACGGTCAAAGACAAACGTCAAGACGAATAAGACAAACCACGGAAGCGTCCTTCGGGTCGGCCTACGCTTTTTAGACTTGTTAGAATCGTTTGGACCTCGTCGAGGAGAGAGGTCTTTGTGTTTTTATTTTTATTTTTTTTTTTCTTACCCACTGTTTGTAACCATTTCAATGACAAAGTGGTGGCAAGTGTGGGTTGTGCATGCCCCTTCTAAATCGAATTGTCAGAGGTTCTGGGTCCACTTATCAGCTAGCAGCTCTATCCGCACTGTAATTTATAATCATTTTCGTAACGCATACGCACTGTGGAGCATGTGGTGCTCTGTCCGTGGGAGGCAGCTGAACATAAAAAAAAAAAAATTATACAAAAAAACGGCTGTAAAGTGCTCGGCGTGACCCACATAGGTCCAACCACATAAACTTATTTGAATCAATCAGCTACGCGCACATTTGCCGCTGATTTGGAGTCGTAAACTTGCGGGCATCTGGCTGACCTGTGGCAACTCGATTCGCAGTTTCAGCAGTTGCAGCTGCGTCTGCATGTTAATTGCTATTTAATTTGTGTGCTGTGCCGCCTCGAAACCCAGTGGAAGTTGCGTCGAGCTTCGATTTTTTTATTCTCTCTCTGCAGCGGGGCACGTTCTGTAATTTAAATCGCCTTTGTGCGCAGACGCAGCAGCGTTTTCAACTCAAGAGTGGCAGGGCAGAGCAAGTACTTTATAGGGTTTTGTTTTGTTTTGTTTGCTTCGGTTTTATTTTGTTTTTCCCCGTTGCCCAGCCGCAAGCGGAAATTGTGTATTAAGTGTTCTCGAGCAAAGGGAGCGATGGGGTAAAGCCGTACTGTCTGCTAAACAGATTCCAGCTAACTCGAAAGCTGCAGTGAAAAATATTGTATTTGTATATAAATAAAGAATATATTTTTTAAAAATCTGTGCCTAGAAATAACTACAGTTTAAGAAAGAGTGGTTTTTTACAACTCCAAAAAAAGCGGTAACAAACTTCTCTTATTCTTACAATTTTTTTAAACAAAATACATAAATAAAATAACGAAAATTTTAGTTCTTTAATTTAATATTACATATTCACTTTAAGATGTAAAGTTCCACATAATGATATATAATTACTGGTTTACAGTTTAAGAACTCTTTGTGTTCAGCTTTGTTCTGTAAGAAATTTTCTGAGAACTATTCCCAGGTAGTTATTAACTTATTCAAGCTTCTCAAACTTCATTAAATCAGAACATTTCTTGCCGTGTAATTGAGAATCTCTGAACACGGCATATCACTTAGCCGAACAGCAATTACGATTAGGAGAGCAGCGCCAAGAGTAAAAAGTCTGGGGAAAAAGAGTCGGCGAAGTGAGTTTGCGGAGCTTCCGAGTTGCATTTGAAACGGGCCATCAATCCAGCGGCAGATTTGTGCAATAATTTGCAGAAAAGTGCTTTGAACTGTGTTGAACACAACATGATCGGCATTTGTTAGCGATAATGAATTGAACATTTCTGAAAACATGTTTGTACATAATTTGTATGCAGGCTCTGGGGCCCGCCACTCATGGACCCAAAGACTCCAAAGTCCGGACTCCGGAGACTGGAGACTGAAGACCAGAGACCAGAGATCGGAGACCATGGCGTCTGCCATGTGTCTGGGTGTCTGAATGTCTGGATATATAGTATTTGTGTTGGTCTAACTAAGAGCATCTGGCCAAGGCATTTGCGGTTTGTTTTTGCCCGCCCAGGGAAAGACAAACGGGGAATTAGACGAGCGCGGAGTTGCCGGGGGAAATGTGCAAAGTGTAAAGTGCATATTTATGGCTTGCATAAAATAACTTGTAAAATTCACTCACTCCGTCTGTTTGTCCCTCTAACTTTGCCGTCTTTTGCTGTGTGCTCATGTGAGTGCATTCGCCATTCGAACACGTGTTGTTTGAACGGACCGTCTATATATATAGGCACACGATCGCCGAGGAAGTCGCTGTTCAGGATATGGATGATATGTGACTGGACTTGCCAATGAGCAGGCATTCGAAATAAACTACCCGCTATGGGTTTATTAATATGCAGCAAAATGTGCACAGTTTGCCCATTATTTTGACAGAAATATGTGCTATGGTGGAAAGATAACGTTTGACGGGTCAATGAGCTCAAGTTTGAGATACAGAACCGATTTGTGGTAGAATGTTATTAGGCTATAAATCTTATCTTGTTATAGACACCAGTATATTAACATTATACTGGGGTTTAATTAGTTGAAATGAATGTGTAATAAATGGTTGCTTGATTTAGTTTCAATTTTATTTAGATTTTATTTTATTTATTTAGATTTTACTACAATGATGTACTTTAATTACTTAATTGTTGAGAGCCACACCCTGTAACTTATTTTTTGATGCTATCATAAACTTCCTTATGGGTGGTTGTGAAAAAATAGTTTTTCGACATAGATACCCGTCCTGCATAGTTTATTAATTCCTAGGTATGTCTGGCAATCCATTTTCCCCAGCTCGGCGGACAAAAAATGCCAGCAATCTGCAGTGTAATGTTAACAATTATTTAGCCGGACAACACCGCAGCTACACATTTGCCACTTCATTATAAAATACTTAGTCATAAATGCTGTCGCCCCGAACAAAACAAAGCCAGGTGTTTTGCCCCCTTCATTTTCCCCTCGGCAATTCAGCAGATTGAGTTACAAGACGCGTGTGCAGTACCATCCTAGGTTCAGGTACTAAACACGATGTTTAGTCTTCGTTGTAGTGAAGCCAATAAACACAGACAACAATTTGTGTAGCTAATAATTATTTCAATATTTGTTTTTGAACAATAACTATGCGAATATATATGAATCCTTTACATTTTCTATTATTAACTTTCAGTTTGCTGTGCCCCTTTTTTTTGATAATATTTAAATTCTGCATTGAAACAAAGAGAGGAAAATCCCAGACTTCTTTGTAAAAGATTATATGAGAATTAAAAAAAAAAGCTCTGTGCATCCACATACTTTGTATCTGAGCGCAGCTGGCAATAGATACGAATGCATCCAGAAGATAGCCTTGAATAATTCAAGCGCGTGTGACTCGCTTAGTAATTAACCCAGCACAAAAGCCGCAGGCCAGCGAT